TCACACATGTTTAGAACTACATCACAGACTGCACAAACCCTTGAGATGTCCACAAAATATAAAATCACAGTATAAAACACATAAAAAGATCTTGGAGATCAAGAGGGCATTCATCACTCAGATCCAATGAGTCCAAAAACACCCAGGCTGTCACTAGAACTCCGATCGGCAATCAAGGAAAATGATGAAAAACTGAAATGATGGGATAACTTCTAGTGACATAAGTTACTAACCGTACAAGCCCCTGGACTCTATTTTTATGTACAGGGTTACAAATAAATAAAATCTCACAGGTATGCTTCAGTGATACCAGGGGTTGTCTGGAGTCAGGGTCACTGCTTGAACTTATGCAGTAAATAGCAAAAGGTAAGCCCTGTGTGATGCCTTAGTGGCTAAATCCTGGCCTTGCATGCACTGGGATCCCACAAGGGTACCATTTCATATCCCAGCTGCTCTGGAAAAGCAGTAAAGGATGCTCCAAGGCCTTGGGACCCTGTACCAGCGTGGGAGACTAGAATAAGCTCCAGCCTTCTGGCTTCCTATCAGCTCAGCTCAAATTGTAGCCATTTGTGGAATGAATCAGTTGATGGAAGATCTTTTTCTCTGTCTCTTCTTCCCTCTGCCTTCTACCTTTCCAATAGAAATAAATACATCTTTTTAAAAAAAAAAATGGCAAAAGGCAATTCATTGAAGTGCCCTGGCCCCCGTGTTGCTATGTCCTCACTATGTGTCTCCAGCTTTCACTGTGCAGACTAGCTGCACTGTCTCGCTCTCCCAGCTGCCATCTTGTTACTTGGTCTGCTATCCTCTCTTTCATTCACACCAAAGTCACAGAGTTTACGGGCTGGCTTTTAAAAATAGATTTTTATTTTGAATTTTGAATTATGTAGTACAATTCATATACACTGGGAATTCCCCCCACCTAAACTCCCACCCCCTAAAGGATTTTCCCCATTTTACTACAATGGTGTATAGCCCTTCACAAGGAATCTTAATTCTATCAGTCTCATAAGGAATCATAATTCCATCAGTGTCTTATTTAAGTGTACCCCGACATTGTTGGTACAGACAATGTCAGACAGTCCAGCATCCCATTCTCTACACATGTCCAACAATTTCATTGGGAATCCATCTTTTGTCTGGAAGCAGGGATGCATGTTGCATTATATCCCCACATCTGAATATGATAGACCCCAGTACTCCATCACTATACATTTCCATAATTGAGAAGCCATGAAACAAAGTCAACAACTGGTATGAGTTAGAACAGCAGTGTACAGGCTGGCTTTTGCAATAGGCAGGTTAATTCCCACCTTTGGGTTCTGAGTTAACATTCCTCTATGGTATTTATTCAACATCCCTGGATCCTTAGGCTTTTAGAATGGCAGGTTCTAATTACCCATGTCAAAAATGCATCAGTCTGGTGCAGCACTTAAGACACCACTTGGGATGCCAGAATCACACATCTAATGACATATTTAAATACCTGGCACCCAAATTCTAGTGGTCTTTGAGCTGCTGATGGCACAAGTATGTGGGTTTCTACCATCCTCATGGAGACCCAGATCTGAGTTTGCTGCCCCTGATTTCTGCCTGGCCTTGCCTCTACGTCATCAGAAAGGAAGTCTCTATTTCAACTAAAATAAAAAAAGTAAATACATATATAATAATGGACAGGCACTTAATGGGTTACATCACCACTTAGCATGCCTACATCCCACACAGAGTGCCAGTTTTATCTACCATACTCCAAATCCATCTTCCTGCTAATGTGTCTGGGAAACAGCAAATGATTGAAATATTTGCGTCCCTGCCAACTATATGAGAGACCTAGATGGAGTTCCTGGCTACTAGCTTCAGCCTGACCAAGCCCTGGCTGGTATGGCCTTAGTGGTAATAATCTAGTGGCTGGAAGAATTGCGAGAGACAGAGAGGAAGACAATCAGACAGACAGACACACACACACACACGCACACCCTCCATCCGCTAGTTCAAGCCTCAAATGGATGCAATTACTGGAGCTGGGCTGGTCCAAAGCTAGGAGGCAGGAGATTGTTTAGGTCTCCCACATATGTACAGAGTATCCCAAGCACTTGAGCTATCCTCTGCTGCTTTTCCATGCACATTACCAGAAGAAGCCGTTGGCATATAGCACCATGCCATAAATAAATGTTTTAAAAAATGCCTGAAAGTCAATCAAGCAATGCAGCACACATTACAGGATTATGGTTTGCTGGCACCAGTTAACTGAGGTTTTACCGTTATAATATTATTTCATTGTTTCAGAAGACCTAACTTGGAGAAAAATGTATCGGGTATTTTGGTTCTGTTCTGAAGACCACATTACTACCCTTTCAAAAAAAAAAAAAAAAAAAACACCATTTGCTCAATGACTTCATTGACCATGCCATATTTTAATTTGAAACTAAAGGACAAAAACTCGAGACGTATAACTTTTCCTGAGAAGACTTGAAATAATTCAGGCATAGTATTCACACATTATGTTTTCAGTCCCTTGTTTTTTTTTTTCTTGAATTAAAGACAATACTAACACTTACTGTGAGTTTTTCTACATGGTTTAAAAAAAAAAGCCTACACATTGGTCAGAGGAGTTGTGCTATAAAACTAAGAGGAGTGAAAAGGGCTTTTTTTTTAAGATTTATTTTATTTTCATTACAAAGTCAGATATACAGAGAGAAAGATCTTCTATCTGTTGATTCACTTCTCAAGTGACCACAATGGCCAATGTTGCACCAATCCGTAGCCAGGAGCCAGGAACCTCCTCCAGGTCTCCCATGTGGGTGCAGGGTACCAAGGCTTTGGGCTGTTTTTGACTGCTTTCCCAGGTCACAAGCAGGGAGCTGGATGGGAAGCGGGGCTGCTGGGATTAGGACCTGTGCCCATATGGGATGCTGGCTTGTTCAAGGCGAGGACTTTAGCTGTGAGGCCACCACGCTGGGCCCTTGAAGAGGGTTTTGAAAGAGTAAGTTAAGCAGTAGGCCCAGAGACAATGGTTGTGGGCCACAATTCAGGAAGACTCTCATAACAAAACAGTGGCAAGACTTGGAGAAGATGGCTTTAGAGCTAGGAAGCAACTCTATTTCTGCCCCATTGTGTGACCAACAAAAGAATCATTTCTAACTGGCAGAATGGTTTTCCCTTCAACATTCTATTCCAAAGTCCTCAATTATGCTTTTTAAACATCAACCCTCATCCTCCAAGATCCAGGATCCTATATGTGGGTTGGTTCAAGTCCCAACTGCTCCACTTCCTTTCCAGCTTGCTGCTTGTAGCCTGGGAAAGCAGTGAAAGATGATGCGAAGCCTTGGGAACCTGCACCCCAGAAAAAGCTCCTGGCTCTTAACTTCAGATCGTCTCAGCTCTGGCCTTTGCAGCCACTTGGGGAGTGAACCAGTGGACAGAAGATATTTCTGTTTCTCCTTCTCTATGTAAATCTGACCTGCCTTTCCAATAAAAATAAATAAATCTTCATGAACAAAACAAATTAACATCTCAAGATTAGAAAGATGTCTATGTGTCCCCCTCAAAGGAACAGACTATCATCAGCTTATTATCTTGAAAGGGAAACAATATAATGGAGAGAATTGTCATGCTTTGGAAAGTGACCTTAATTTAGTGGTCAAGAGGCAGGGATGCTCTAATAATGTATTTTCCAATAGCACTCACTCTCACAAGGTACTCATATCCTGTTAAATCCCAGAAAAACTTACACTATATGTTAAGGGAATAAGAGATCATAAGGAAGACAGAAGGATGCGTAAATTATTCCTAGGCAGCCAGCAAATGGAGATAGAAGTAAGATTAAATACATTTTTTTTTTCCACACAAAGTATCTAGAAAAAAAAATACCACATAGACGGTGTTTTAGTTCAAGTGCATTAGAGACTCAATTTGCTTTTGTGGTCTAGCCTGGAAACATAACTACCACTTATTAAATCAGTTGTGTGGAATAAAAATATGAAAGCCAACATTTGAAAGACATCCTGTTCTATAGCTGAGGACTGACTTATCAGCAATATCAAATCTAATTTAGTCTAACTTCTCACCATGGTAACGAGCCCTTGGCAGAAATACTCAAAGACATTTCACATCTAGAAAACTTGCCTTGTACTTCTTTGCCACTCATAATGTCAAGAAAAGCATGCATCAAAGGTACTATGTAATTAGAATGGCCTTTAAAACAGGCATAAAACAAATCATTCCTATCAAAATTAAATCCATTACACATCAATCTTCACACTGAGAGAATAGCATCAGAGAAAACAATCTTAGACCCTCTATTCTGATTCCCCGAAGTCTGTCACTTCTAACACTATCCCCAAAATGGATTGAAGGGCCACTTATTTAACACATTTTGGTGATTTGTTCGCTATTAAAGGAAAGTGTGGATGTGAGAAACAGGCCGGGATCTGCTATAGCTTTCTATGCAAACACGGCACTTGAGCCCTGGCTACACAAAGGAAATGTAGTTACAGCTCGGCTTCACAAAGGCCATGGTGAAGGCCATGATGTCCAGCAGCCACTTCTGGGTCTTGGCTGAGTGAACACTCTCGGGGAGAGGTATCATCCTGCCGGCGATCTAGGAATTGTAGCTATCCTTGGGGAGCTACTTAGAAATTTGAACTCCAGCATGGGCAAGGGTCTCTAGGGTTATTTTGACTAAGACCAGCTTCAGATGCCTGCTTTGCATTAGGAAGTCTTTCTCCTCCCCCCCACAATAGTGAGTTGTGTCAACAATACTCTTCTGTGTTCACCCACAAAAATAAATGAAAGCATTTAAACTTAACCACACTATGTTTTGTTCCTTGTGACCATATTTCCCCTAACGTCTAGCATACAGACTCCAGGGAGGATTCTAGCCATGGGGTTGGAGGACTAACTTGGCCTGGGGGACAAGCACAAAGGGAACCGAGGCGCTCTAAAACAGGCAGTGTACAAACTGAAACCATCAGCCCCGAAAGGTGACTTGAATAACATACCATCAAATTTCTTGTATCGGGAAGCGAAGATGGCCTGCAAGTGATTGCACTGTTCGCTCACCACACTTTTGAAATCATCTTTACTCTGTATGCTGTACTTCTCCTCCATCTCCTGAGAGCAGCAGGTAGAACCCTGGGGACAGATCTTCAAATGATCACCTGCAAGATGAAAAGGAGGACAGTCAACCTCTGTCATCATTCATCAAGGCCAGAAGGTGTCCGTGTGCTGTTTTATCTCACACTATGAGCACTCTTACAAAGCATCCGGTAGTGTGTCTACCTAAAAAGTTTCATGGAACCTAAACACACGTAGATTTTCTTCTTGGCTTCTCTCTTCCCTAAGCCAAAACAACCTGCTAACAATGCCAGATGTGGGCAACAGCCTAGGTTGCAGTCCTAGGCAAATGTTATACTGCTGAGAGAAAAGCACTAATAGCTGGCAGGCATCCTGGACCAGGTTAATGCCAAATCTCTGTTAATGATACAAGTGTGCCAGCACAGTTGCCTAGCTTATTTTATTTTTTTTTTTCCCCTCTAAAGACATGTGGAGGAAGGGAGGGAGGCCGGTTCCATGACGCCCAGGGGTGTGGAGCCTGGTGCGGCTCAGGTTGCCTGGCCTGGGTCCTTGGGCCCACCTGCACAATGGGTGTCAGGGCCATAAGCCCCAGGTAGTCCTCCTCAGTGGAAAAGACAGAGCAGTGAATGGCAGGCCCAGATGCACACAGAGGATATGGAAGGCCATTGGTACCTGCAGAGGACATCTGCTAGCATATCAGAGAAAGGAGGGCAGAACAAACTGGTCAACTATCCCAACCAAGTGATGACAGCAAGTAACTGGGCGAATAGAGACTCAAAGGTCAAATATGTCAGCTGATGGACATTGGAAGAATTTTCCCATCCTTGGATTCCCCATCCTTGGCAAGAGTGTCAGCATTTGAGAACCATTGAAACGACTTAAGTACATGCCTTGGAGCATGATTCACATCATGGACTCTGCGTTGATATTTGGTGGCTGGTCCCCATCCTCAGGTACGCAGGCTATTGGGAGTTTGGCTGTGGCTTCTCACCCCTTATGTCCCCCCGGCCCCAGGCAAAAGACAAAGGAAAACAACAGTCTCACCCACTTTCAAATAACTCTTGATCCTTCCCATCCTAGTCAACTATATAAAAAAATCATCAAAATTTAAAAAAAAGAACATGCTAATAAAGCAGATGGCTAAACCACAGGAAGAATGAAATGGCCAATAAAAGGAGCAATATTCTATACCAACTGAGGTCTTCTTTATGAATTCCCTGAGATTCTCCGGAATATACTATGTAAGCCATGCAAGTGAGACAGATCTTCTGGATTTAGAAATTTATACAACAAGAAAGGCTTTCCCCTACAGAAGGTTATTTCAGAAATTTCAAGCCTGTATAAATTTCAAAAACGCTTTGCACCCAAAATAAGCTAATCTTTTACTTCCATTATCCATGAGTCTTTTTCAAGTGCCTTTATAAATGACAATAAAAAGTAAGGCATATTTATGAGAAATTGTTACATTGGGGAAGTAAAGATAATTGGCATATTTCTTTTTTTTTTTAATTTATTTAAAAACAGTGAGTGCTAGATGGAAAGAGAGATCTTCCATTCAGTGGATGACTCCACAAATGTTTACAAGAGCCAGCACTGGGCCAGGCTGAAGCCTGGGGCCAGGAATTGGAAGTACTTGGAATATTTGAGCCATGAGCACATGAGCGCATTCCAGGATGTGCAGCAGTAATGAGCTGGATCCCCAAGCAGGCTTCAACCCCAGGCACTTGAGTATGTGATATGGGCATTCGATGTCATGTATTAACCACTGAGTCAAATGCTCAGCCTAGGGCCTGGCACGATATCCTAGCAGCTAAAGTCCTTGCCTTGAACAAGCCAGCATCCCATACGGGTGCTGGTTCTATGGCTCCACTTTCCACCTAGCTCCCTGTTTGTGGCCTAGGAAAGCAGTCGAGGACAGCCCAAAGCCTTGGGACCAAGCACTCGCATGGGAGACCAGGAAGAAGCTCCTGGCTCTTGGCTTTGGATTGGCTCAGCTCCAGCCACTGCAGCCACTTGGGGAGTAAATCAGCAGATGGAAGATCTTCCTCTCTGTCTCTCCTCCTCTCTTAAATATGACTTTCCAATAAAAACAAAATAAATCTTTAAAACAGATGCTCAGCCTAGATTTGTGCTGAGAACTGATTTGTACGCACAGAAGAGGCTAGGGGAGTTTAGGTTAGATGATCTCAACCTATGATGAAACACAGAGTGGGCAATGCCATGCGAGCCTCCATCTTGACATTTGCTGACATTTTTTTTTATGTAGATGTCAGAGATAACATCCACTGTTCGAGTCAACAGCATAGCTGGCTATCCCAATATAGACTAATGGCTGCCAATTTATGTAACCTTTAAGTAATCTTACAAGTCAAAGGAAATGTCAACGTCAGCATCACTCCAGAGCAGCCTGACCCATGAAAGTATCTCTTTCTGCATTTTTCTTGCAGTACAGAGCTCAGGGCATGAAAATGTTAGTTCTGGAAACCCTAGAGGCTCTTGTCTTCTTCCTTCTCTGAAATGGAACAAAAATGGTACCTTAAAAAGACAGTGCTGGCCTTCGCATGATGACTCGGTGATTAAAGCCATGCCTAGCTTGTGCTGGGAACCCCTTTGGTAGCTGGCTGCTCTACTTCCCATCCAGCTCCCTGCTTGTGGCATAAGAAAGCAGTCAATGATGGCCCAAAGACTTGGGACCCTGCACTCATGTGAGAGACCCGGAAGAAGCTCGTGCCTCCTGGCTTCAGATCAGCTCATCTCTAGCCATTGCGGCCATTTGGGGAGTGAACCAGCAGAAAGAAGATCTTTCTCTCTGTCTCTCCTTATCTATGTAAATCTGACTTTCCAATAAAAATTCAAAAATAATAATAAAATGAAATTTTAAAAAGAATGACATTTACCACCAGGAAGATGTGTACTATTCAAAAATCACCTGTACTAGGATCTATTGCTTTGGTTACTATAAAATGATGGGTGTGGTTTAATTCTGTACCCACGTTTATAAGGATTCACATTCACTTTGGTCTGTAAAGAATCAGCCACGCAGGAATGATTCCATTCCTGAACCTGGCAGGGGGCCGAGTACATTCAAGAAACAAAGGGCTGGCAAAGGAAGAGCCAATCTCAGAGCCCACACTCATCGTGGGAAATGACCAGGAGCTAGCCCCTGCTGCTTCTGGGGTGTATGTACATATGGGAAATGGGTTTTCATCTGACAGGGATAGTAAAGGAACTGTGAAGTAGGGGCACATTATATATAAAATGAACTTGGCTATTTAGCACCTCACACTAGCTTGACAACTGCACATAGGCAACCAATCATGCATATTTCCCATCATTCTTCCCTTGTGGCAATTAAAAACTAGAGAGTGTTACTGCCAAGAAAATATGGGGGAGGGGCAGATATAGCATGAAACAGGAGTATTCAAGTGACTTCCATGTCCAGCGATGGCTAAAACCTGCTTATGAATTTTTGAAAAGCTTAATCAAAAAATTCTACTAACAACAACAAGATAAACCAACAAGAAGAAGAAGAAAAGCATCTTTTGGAAAAGGGAATGAGCATGTAGCACAGGGCTGTGAAGTTGCAGAGTACCACAGATCTCATTAGCGAGAGAAGAAAGGTTGCTAAGACTCAGCTTTATGGAAACGCTTTTGTTACGACCCAAAACAAAACTCCTTCCCTACTGGCTTAACAAGTTCTTGCAGCGGGCCTTTCTTGTGCTGGGACCTATAATTACCAGAGAGATATCACTCATCTCCTGATTTCAGGCTTGATGGCTTCCCCCATTACAGTCTTAATATCTGCAACAATGAGGGACACCAGATAGTACAAGGGCTCCAGTTGTATTAATAATCCACAGCATAATCAGACTCCCATGCACAAAATTAACCAAAATGCGCAGAACAACAACTTATACATAAGACTAACGATGTTGATCATTCCGCAGAAAGAGTGGGTTCTTTTGTAATATTGCCAGAGTGTTAAAATCTGTAACAGTACTGGCTGCTATTTCAAGACTCTACGGTGATATGCAAAAACAATTCCTGAATTTGGAAAATAATTTATGCTCATGTGACCTTCACAGGGTCCAAACACATGACAAAGGAGACCTTATCGGATGATCCCTTTTCCACCTTCCACGCACCAGGACAAGTCAACATGCAAGCATGTATGCACACCCCGGAGCAGAGCAGGAAGAACGAACTGTCCCCACTGAGGAAGGTGCTGGAGTCTGAGAGGTTGAAACCTACCCAGAAGAATCTGACACAAGGGAAAACTTCCTTTGAAAATGAATAAGTGCTCTGCTGAAAGGATACAGTGCTTCCAACACTGTGCCAGGCAGGGCCCACTATGTATCTCAATACTACCTGGGACCTTAGGCAGGACCTCAGGGAGAACTTCCTTCTTCATTATTTCCAGGAGGACTCTGTGTCATGGTGAAAGGTTTGTCTTGACTGATAACAGCATAGTAGACATTTATTAATATTTTCTCTGGCCTCGCCTACTTTCTTTCAGCATAAAGTTCCCACTGCAACATACAACAGGGCCCTGAATGTATCAGTTACTCAATTCTGATTTCATTCTTGCCTAAAGGCCTGAACTTACACGCAGTTAAATACACACTTGAGAATTAGCCCCAACATATCCATAGGCGAAGCGCCATAATTGGCTAGTGCTGCTGAGAAGTACAGGAAGTAAAAGGAGGCCAGGGTGGGTATGATTTGAAAATGGAATCACAGTCTTGATTTCTAAGAAACTTGAAACTTGACAACTTCTATTTTAAGCTCCCCCAAGATGAGTTTATTTTGAAATCCAGGACATCGTCATTATTTGGACCCCCGTGTTTATTGCAGCTCAATTCACAATAGCTAAGAAATGGAATCAACTCACATGTTCATTAACTGCTGATTGGATAAAGAAAATGAGGTATTAATATACACTGGAATACTACTGAGCCATAAAACAGACTGAAATCTTACATGCCACTGGGAACCATTAGCTTACTGAAATAACCAAACAAAAAGACAAGCATCACATGTTTACTCTGATATGTAATAGTTAATACAGAAGACAAATGTATAA